CTGGGTCGAGCACCCTCACAGCCTGTCCCCTCCCCCATACACCAGGGCTGGCCCCACAGACTGCTTCATGTGCCAGAGCCCCAGGAATCTGCGGAGACCGTCCTCTCCCCCATTGCCCGGCAGCACCCCCGCAGCCGAGCTCACCCTCCACAGCTCTGGGCGCTCCCACAGCACCAGGCCACTCCACGGCCCCAGGCTCGCCCACAGCCTGTCCTTTTTCACAAGGGCCTGGGGCAATCCCATAGCCTATCTCCTCCCCAGCCGCGGGAACCCCCACAGCTTGTCCCCTCCACAGATGTGGGGCCATCTCAGAACTTGACTCCAGAGCCCCAGGCACACCCGCAGGACGAGGCACCCTCTCCGCCTGTCCCTGCCCACAGAAGCCTAAGGCTCTTTTGTAAGCTGCCCCTAAGCCCAGAGCTGTAAGCCCTGATGGAGCCCGAGAGAACCCCCTTGCCTGTCCCTTCACCCAGGGCCCAGTAAGACCGCCATGGCTTGTCTCTACCCAGGAAGCTCGGCCAAGAACACCCCTTTCGACGGGTCCCGCTCCTGCAGGCACGGGATGGAGCTCGACTCTACTTCCTTCCCCACATCCCGAGGCGGCTCTCATAGCCTGCACCTTCAGCCACAGGTGAAGAATGCTCTCATGGCCCAGAGATCCCGGGCGACCTTTTCTTTCGCAGCCCCGAGGACTCCTAACTTCGGTCTCCTCCTCCCCAGACCCGGTCACCCACACAGCCCCGGCAGGCCCCACCACCTCGGGCTCTTCCACAGCTCCGTTCACCCACACAGCCCCAGGGTCCCTTGCAGCCTCGATGGAGCCTGCGGTCCCAGGAGCTCCCGAAACCTCATTCGCCCGGGTGGCGTCGTCGGTCTCCGCAGCTCGTCTCATCCCCCAAGGCCGCCGACAGCCCCGCGGCCTTTCTGCACTCACACAGCGCGTCTCCCACTCCCAGGACCTCGCCCGGCGCCTTGCTCCACGGCCTCGGGAGGTCCCCGTGCCCAGTCTCTTCCCCCACGGCCGCCGAACTCCCCGCCCCGACCTGCTGGGCCCCACGCAGCGACCCGGCATCTTTGCCGCTGGCTCGCCCCTGCGCAGCCTGGCCAAGGCCTCACGGCCGGTCGCCCGGCTCATAGCTCTAGGGCAGTTCCCTCTCCCTAAGGCGGCCCTGGGGGTTGTCTTAGCACCTCGCTCCCTAAGCTGCTCCACACACGCACTCACACACTCAGCTCCCGCCTCGCAGGCTTTCTCCCTCCCAGCCCCCAACCCATCCCACCCCCGCCCAGGCTCGGGAACCCGCCCCCAGTCCCAGGCCCCCCTAAAGCCTAGGCGGCAGAAAAGGTAATTGGGGGTACAAAGCGACAAAGGCTGTCTGGGTCAGGTCTCCTCTCCCCCAGCTTCAAGACTCAACGCAGCTTCCCAGAATCCCCCCTAGCCCCGGCCCGAGCCCACCTGGCCTGGGGCGAGGCGCGGCTACTGGGAGGCAGGCAAGGGGGCCCCCAACTAGGCCGAGCTTCCGACCGCCATCCCAGTCGCCATAGCAACAGGCGCAGGGCGGCTTGGGAGCTGTTGAAGCTCCTGAACTACGCAAGGATTTAGGTGTTGCAGGGCGGTAAGTTTCGCAGCCAGTGTCCATGGGGCCGGGACTGGGACTAGATTGGGGTAGAGGCCTGGGCTTGGGAGTGCAGCTAGCCCAGAAAGAGCTGAGAAACGAGAGCAGAAAGCCATGCGGGTGCATTGTGGTCCTCAGAGGTTCCCGTACTCTACGGCGGCTCCGGCTTCCGTAGGCCCCGCCCCCTCTCGCCCACCCGGAAGCAGCCCCGCCCCGCCCAGTGGGCCCCGCCCGCGGCGGCCAGACGTGCACGCTTGTAGCAGCAGTTCCACGTCGTGCCGATGGCCCACTACGAGGAGGTGAGTGTGTCCGGCTTCGAGGAGTTCAACAGGGCCGTGGAACAGCACAATGGAAAGACCATTTTCGCCTACTTTACGGGTTCTAAGGACGCCGGAGGGAAAAGCTGGTGCCCCGACTGCGTGCAGGGTGAGGCCGGGATTCGGGGGCCCCTGTACAGCGAAAACGGCAGGAAAGTGGAGGCTACGGCCAGAAAGGGGGCTTAGTGGAGGCGGAGTGTCTTGATTCCAGACATCCGCGGGGCAATCTGATCTGTCCCTGTCTTCGCCTATAAAATCCTAAGCTGCTCTGCCAAGAGCGCTCTCCTTTTTACCATTTTACCCGGATGATCTTGGAATCTGGTTCCTTAAAACTTCTTAGCCAGTACTATTAGTGTCTTACAGGATGCGTGAGTTGATCAGCAAATGCATGTGCTTTCCATTGTTATGGGCGCGGTGGTGCGGGGGCAAATTTGGACTGGGATTTGGACTTAGAACCCTTAATGTGGTTCTAAGACCAGAAGTGAACGCCTGACTTCTGTTGACCTCTTCAGTTAGCTGCAGGTTAAAGTCTGAGTGTTTACCAAGACTGGGGGAAGGAGAAAGGAACACTGTTTATTAGTGCTTGATTGTAGAGTTAACGGGTTTATCTCAACTTTTTTTTTAAAGCTGAACCAGTCGTACGAGAGGGGCTGAAGCACGTTAGTGAAGGATGTGTGTTCATCTACTGCCAAGTAGGAGACAAGCCTTAGTAAGTGGCAATGTATACTCGACTTCACAGACATGCACGAATTGTAAACTTAGGCGGGAAGGGCCTCAGGGACTCACCCAGTTTTTCTGTTACAAGGTTATGTCTGACAAGTTAAACAATTAGAAGCTATTAAATACAAATTTAAAATGCCCACCTGAATTAAAGTAAGGGTAATTAAACGAATTTGGTCTGGTGTAAACCCAGAACTTAGCTGGCTTTACTTTTATATCTTAGTCATGCTTTAAAACTTTGCACAGAGTAATTAATAGATTAAGCCATAGTCCTCAAGGTTTTTTTAAGTGTCGGCAAGAAGAATGATTACTAAAAAAATAGGGATATGTCAAATATTAAGCAAACTGTAATAAACCAAGTAAATTTTTTTCATGATTACTTTTTCTTTTGGAATAGTTGGAAAGATCCAAATAATGACTTCAGAAAAAACTTGAAAGTAACAGCAGTGCCTACACTACTTAAGTATGGAACAGTAAGTATCCTTAAATATGCTGGGCCTGTAATTCACTTCAAAACTCTTTTAACTTGCTCTGGATCCAACATTGTAAAGATCTTGACATTGTATCTTAATTCCACTGCAGTTCAGAGTGCTGCTGAGAGTCCATTCCTATGGCCAATCCCAATAAACTAATAATGTAAATATCTAGCTATTAGGTCTTTTTCATGGTAAGTCACTGTTATCAAATTCTATAACCAGAAAGTAGGCTGACTGATAATTCCTTAAAACACATGCATCAACAGTTGTTTTCTATGTAATTCATAATTCTGGTTAAAAAGGGCACCTCCTCTAATTCAGTCATGCCCCTGGGATCCTAAATTACAGAGCTGAGGGGAAGAGGAGGGTACTGGGCTTGCTGTCTCCTGTTTTAGTCTGTGGTGCTTCCTGGCATTTGGGATTTAAGTCCCTTGAGCCAAGTATGTTAGTGATTCATCTTACAGCAAATATCTTTCATAAAACTTGTTATAACTAGTTGATAGTTTCTAAATTGCATAATTTCTGTCTTCAAAGATAGTGTCATTCAATGCAGAACTCATTCCACTCCTAGTAATGTTTTATAGGAGTAGTTAAGATTTAACTGTTCTCTTACAGCCTCAAAAACTGGTAGAATCTGAGTGTCTTCAGGCCAACCTCGTGGAAATGTTGTTCTCTGAAGATTAAGATTTTATGATGGCAATCATGTCTTGATTTCCTGATTTTAGTATCAATAAACTGTATACTTGCTTTGAATTCATATTAGCAATAAATGTTTAAAAAACTGGCATGTGTCTGTAAACAAGACTGCTATTAAAATACCCATGAACCTTTAGTTTACCTGTAATATATCTTCACAAGTAGCAGTAAAGGCTCAAAGGAATGTATTATTGAAAGTGACAGAAATGCCTAAAAGCCCCTAAAGGTACAGAGGACACCTTCCAAATCTCTAAAAAGATCAGGATCTTTTAAATTCTATGCATCTGCAAAGCAACTGATGTTCCTGAAACCCCTTCTTTGATTTTGGAATATAGAACCTAACCTCACCACTGAAGGGAAGCACAGTACCTCTAATCCAGCCTCTAATTCAGGCAGTTTTGTTTCATTTATTAAAAAACAGACTTCTGAGCACTATAGGCAGTTCGTTTTACAGCTATTTCAATGTGCTTTACTTGGGATGAGGCAGGTGACAGGGGCTAGAGAGACTATATAACCTAGTGGTGGGAAGAACTCCAACCTGGGAGTCAGTCACACTGATTCTACCACTTACTAGCTGTGCAACCATAGGTAAGTTAAGTTACTCACCCTGTCTAAACTTCAGTTTTGTCTTCTATAAACAAGGTTCTGAGAATTCAAGGAAGCACTTAACATAGCACCTGGTTTGTGGTGCCTCCCAAATCAGTGTTAGCTTTCCCAAGTGAGCACAAGTATTTGAGGCTCCTCATCTTTGTTCTAAAGTCAAGAGACCAATTAGTAATTAACCACTAGTTGTCCTGCGATGACTAGGTCAAGTGAGGCCACAGTGATTCTTAAAGCCATCTTGCAAAGCAGGTATACAGGTATCTCCTTTCCTGCAGAATTTAAGAACCTTTATGCAGTTCCTTTCCAGTGATTTAAAGAGGTCACTGACTCTGCTACTCTCACTACATAGGTAAGAGTGGTAGAGTAGTTGATCTGAGACACAGTAAGGTCCCAGGAGAAGCCTTGCCCTACTATATGTCCGGAAGAGCTAACCTTAGAATTCAGTATACTTGGTGGCTCACCCCTTCCCCATGCCCCTGTGCTTTCTTTATTTGGTCTAAAGCACCTAACTTTTCCATTCTTAATCAGCCGATTATACTAAATTCTTAAAAAAGAAACATCTTAAAATCCATATGGAAATCAAAGTAGAACATTTCAGGTTTAACAGTGATAGTCTATTAACAATAAAAAGTTAGTTGGATTAAAAAGCACACTAAAGATTCTAGGGGCTACCATAATAAAGCTAGATAGGAGGAGTTTTCATTTTTTTTATCTTCACATATATATATATATATATATATATATATATTCAGAGCCTCGTCTGTATCCAGTTCTTCATTTTCCCGACGTGTTATTTTGCTGTTGCTGCTCTGCCAAGGCTTGCTGAAGGCGCATCCGCTTCCGGGAATAGTGCTGCCAGTGTAGAATCTGCTGTTCATCAATAAATTTTGCACACTGGGCATTCACCAGCTCCTTTCGGAAGTGTTCATATTGGAGCAGCTCTAACATGTGTAAACACTGAGGGTACCTGGGTTTAAGTTTATAAGTGAATGAACAACATAATTTAAGTAAATAATGCCAAAGTCTAATTCAGTTATTCTCTTAAAAATGATCTTGTAGCCTACCATTTCTATAACATTCACTTAGTACACTCTAGTAGCATAGGGTTTTTCCCCTGCATAGTCATCAAAAGTCAGTGTTCAGCAAAATTTTCAAGTGAAAAGGTTTAAGTTCAGAAAGATTAACTTGCTCAAGACTACAGAACACAGTAACTGGTAAGCAGAGTGAAAATTTAGGCACAAACCATGCTATTCCCTTCTAGTGGCTTCCAAGGTGAAGAACATGAACATATTTTAGTAATTATGTGTTTGATAGTTACTGGTTTTTCCATCAATAGTGATAAAAAGACAACTTTCAGTTTGAAAGAGGACTATGCATATACATTGTACTCTTGTCCACAGGGGTATACCAATTCTGAAATTAGGTATACTCTAGGATTGGACAAGTAAATATACTGTGGATACGGAGAGCCAAATTTCTGGCTATCAGAAAAGGATTTATAGACAAGGAAAGGAAAAAGGCTAGAATGAACCCTGTGTTACTGAGCTGGTATTGAAAACAGCATGTACTTATGGCTTTTAATATATAGAGACATAGATATATATGTGTGTGCATGTATACACATACATACATATATAGAGGTCTTGAGCTTTGTGCACTGAGAGGGCCTAGAAGCAATGACACTGTGGTACTAATGAACACACAGTGCCCGGTTTCCAAGGAGCAGGTTTCCTTGGAGAAAAGTCTGATTCAGGGATAAGACAGGGAAAGGACAAGATGAGCCTGGAACATTACGTAATGCCAGAAGAAAAAGTGCTAAAAATTCTTGGGAGGATCAAAAGTATTCAGGAGCCAACTTGAAGGGATTCCTAATGGCCAAATCTGGAATACTCAGAGCAAGAAAATACATAATTAAAATTCACAGAATAAAAATAATAATACAATAGTCCATATTAAATGGATGTAAATTTCTTTAATAAAATAATAAATAAAAAACAAGGAAAAGTATTTCCCTACAATCGAATTCCAAACTAATAAATGGAGAATGAAAGAATTAGAAAATCACCACAATGAAAACTGTTTCTTCAAAAGCAAGTATCTTCAAATGATGCTAAAATTAATGGGCAAAAGTATATGTAATATGATATTTACATAGTCTCAAAGGATTTCCCCATAAGATACTTATTAAATACACAAGGAAAAATAGTAACTTGATATGGAGAAACCTAGAAGGTACCAGCCTCAACCAATTTATCAAAATTAATATCACCGGTAGTGGAACAAACAGACTTCATGTGACTGTAGATATACGACAGATACCAAATCATTTCTGTCACAGTCATGGCAAAGAAAAGACCACTAGATTAAAGAAGACTAAGAAAACATGACAATAAATGCAACATGCAGGTCTAGACTGGAACCTGTACTGCATACAGCACACCAGCAGGACAACTGGGAAAATCTGATCTCTGTAGATTAGGTAATAAATTCATATTAATGTTCTGATTTTTGCTGATTGTATTGTTAAACATCTGGAATATCTGGGTGAAGAAAATATAGGAATTCTCTTTACTATTTTTTCAGGTATTTTGTAAGTAAAATTATTTCAAGTTGAAAAGACATAAACGCATTTAAAAGAGACAAAATACATTGAAATATAGGAAGTATGCAGATAAAGCCAAAGTTGTAGAAGTGATATGCAAATGACTAAAGTTTGGAAAATAGGATGCTAGAGCAATGCTTCTCAAACTTTAATGTGTGTGTGAATCACTTCTTAAAATGCAGACTGACTCCTTAGGTCTGCCGTGGGATCTGAGCTCTGCATTTCTAAAAAGCTCCCAAATGGAACCAATGCTGCTGATCTGAACACCACACTGAATAGGGCTTATAGTACCATGCTTCTAAGACAGTAACTTCCAAGGTAGTAAAGGTTTGCTATCTACATGCTAAAAATACACAGTTGCTCTAATTGCTGGCTGCTTAACCTAGAATGCTGTATTCACACCTGCCCTGGCTAATTCCCTTTCATGACAGCATGAGTAGTTAAAATGACCAGGATGTAAGTTCTAGCCAGGTAGCCTTTAACAAGGTACTTAGCCTCTCTAAAGTTCAGTTTCTTCAGCTGTAAAATAATGTGAAAACCAAGAGAAGTCTCAAGTAGCATTTGGTCAATAACTAGAATTTAGACAGGCAGTGTTTGTATCAGAATATATTAGATGACAATAAAGAATCATACTCTGGATAGGCTACAAGTCAACAAGATGAAACAGAAGCAGTAGCAAAGGAAAGTTCTGCATTTGGTGTTTTAAAAAATAAACAGAGAGAACTCAACAGCATTGATGAAAATAAGAACTGAAGGATTTTAGTTGACATTAATGCTCCCAGCAAGTCAACAATGTGCTCCTCTCCTCACCCCCACCCCAAAAGTAATATAAACGTAAGTTTAATTAATAGAGGTGTATGTCCACATAAAGAAAAGAAAGGACCTCTGGCCCACTGTACTCTGACCACATCTGAAGGCCTGTGTTTAGTTCTTGGCTAAACTGCATAAGGTACAACTGCCAAATATCCAAAGGAGGGAACCTGAACTCATAAGTCTGGACACCATGGCACAATGGCTGAAGGGAGTTGAGAAAAAGATATATAAGAGAGATGTTACAGTGGCAGCTACTGGTTAGCAATGAAGCAGGCCAAGTGGTAGAAAGTCTCTTCCACCAGGTGGAAAGCAGCTAGTAGTGACAGCTGCTCTCAGCTTCAGCCAGTTGTTGACTTGGAAGAGTTAAGATCTATGGCTGCTAGATCTTCCAGATTTTAAAGAGTATCTGGAAATCTGCATTTATTAAAACTCTGATCTTTAAATGTTGGCAAGCATTAAAAAAATAAAATAAAATCTTGGGCAGATTAAATAAAATGCCCAAAATGGGCTAATTTGCAATCTCTCTTGAATGTAAATATCTAAAAAGCTGTTGTCCTCAAGAGGGTATAGAATGGTTCTAGCTTAATCCAGGGACAAACAGATTGAAGCTACAAGGCGGTATATTATATCACAATATAAGGAAGAACTTTATAACTTCTGGCTAACAATCAAATCAGCTGCCCTTGACAGAGTAACATGGGATCAATGGAAACTTCCAAACAGAGTGTAGATGACCATCTGATCTCATTGTGGATAAAATTAAACTTACTGGTGGCTAAGGCTTCCAACACTGAGTCTGTAAATCTACATACATACAACATTTGTTGAAAAATACTTTTTTAAAAGTCTTTTCTTTGGATTATTAAATGGATAAAAAGCCAGAAAAGATACAAATGGTCCTGCAGGCAACACAAGATGTATATGCTTCATGAGTCAACTGTTACTGCATATAGAAAAGTGACTTAAAGACAAGTTTGAAACATTTTCCTCTCAAATTTTTGTTTAAAAAAAAAAGTTCACTACTACTTTCTGACTACCTGCTTAAGACAAAGCAGGGGTGTGAGTTCAAGATGTAGTTTTTTGTTTTTTACCATTAAAAGGGAATTGCTTTCTGGTTATATGGTTCTTGCAACTTAGTAAGCTTTAACAGCAAAGTATCTGCTGAACAACCTGAATGGTAAACATACATATACACATAAATGAGTAAATACATGTGAAGTATTTAGCACTGTTCTTGGCACACAACAGGCCTTAAAGAAAAGAGAGCAGTTCTAAGATTCAGGCAAGACTCCTCCAAACAACCCCAAACACCTTCCTTAAAGATACCCTCTTTTTGTGTTCTAATTTCAGCCCATGGCTATGTTACTACTTTTACAGATTGTGCGTTCTTTGGGATCAGAAACCTGGGCAGATGGGGAGGTTGGTAAAAGACAAGGTCAGACAAAGGAGGGCCAGATCATAGAGGGGTTTAGCCCAAAAAAGAGAGATTGGATTTTATTCCACATGGAATGCAAAGCCATTAAAGGTTCTAGGCAAAAAAGTAAGGTGTTCTAATTTATATTTTTAAGTGATTAACTTGGCTTCTGTGTAGAAAGCTGTTTTGCTTTGTTTGGTTTTTGGGGAGGGGTAGGGGAGCAGGAAGGTAAAAGTGGAAGCAGAGATAACCAGGGAATAGATTACTGCAGTGATACAAGTTGGAGATGAGGGTGTCTTGTATTAAGATGGCAACAACTAAAAGAAGTGGAGAGAGTCAAAATACATTTTTGCCAATGTGAAACTAAGAAATCTATTATATAATAAAGTATAAACATGCTTAGGATTATAAAAATTAAACTTACTTTAGATACTTGGCATATTCTGGGTCTTTCCAGTAAAGCAAGTATTTAAGATAATTAACAAAAGCTTTGTCTTTGAAGTAACCTCTTTGGGCAAGAACTGAAAAGCATTAAAAAAAAAAGAAAAGAAAAAGAAAATCTGTAGGTCAAACCAATTCTTAAACTATGATTTGTTACCCCTAATATAAAGGATCTATTTACATCACACTCCCACCACCAACACACATCGGATTCAAAACACAAGTCCCAATGTGCACAATTACATCTATACACCAGCATAAGTGTAATTTCATTTCATTGAGAATGTGTACAAGGAGACACTATTTTGAATTGCAACTCTTCTGTCAGAAATTAATAGCTACTCAATTTAATGAGGTGCTTAACAACTTACAATTAAGGTAATTTGGGTTGGCTAAACATTGCACAAATTCCAATTCCAATTGAAACCGAAGTCGATTTCCAGCATCATCTAGGAGACAAGACAGCAAAAATCATCAAAAATAAAGGTCACTGTATATAATACTCATTTGTGGTAAGGAAAGAATAAAGAAACCTGACTAATATTGAGATGGTCTTCCTAAACTGGGAGTGGATGGAGATAAACCTTTCTTCGAAATCTAAGAAAAAGCGGAGCCTTGGTTAAAAGTATTAAGTTAGAAGTTTCTCTAAAGTTAAAGAGAAATCATCAAAGAAAACAGCCACACAAACGGAGCAGAATTCCTACCAACTCGTGGGCCACTTTGCAGGAATTTTAAGTGATCACGTAGGTAAGCTGCACTAACTGTGGCTTCCCCTATTTTAATAATGCGTTGTAACCATTGTTAACAGTGATTAAGTTTCGCAAAAGCTACGTGCTGAATCCGTTAAGAAAAACTTAGGATGCAAGCCGAAAAAGAGACTGCAGAGAGCCTAAAAGATCGTGGAGTGTATGCATATGTGAGAAGCACCAGCAGCAGAATGATACACAAGTCTAGCGACGATATTTCAAACACGAAAGCTCGTGAGAAGCAGAAAACCAACCAAGGAGGACACGGTTTAACACACAATCCTCTCTTAATCTCGCCCACAATGGGGAGCTGGTGGTTTTTGAGTAGCAAAGATGTGGAATAAACCAAATTAGGAGAACTACGAAAAGTACCTTAGCCTTTCTAGATGCCACAAGAGCCTTCGAACCCTGCAGAGTGAGGCCTGAAAGGAAGCCTGGGGGAAGCGGTCTGGGCCTAGGAGAGTTCCATCTGCCAAGACTCCACTGAGCTACTCACCTGTCTCCATAGCGACGGCGGCGGCCATAACAAACCAAGAGACACCAACTCGCCACCAGCCCGACAGAGCAAACGCCCAGTGGCGAGAGAAGTTCCGGAAACCACGGCTCCCTCTTCCGGTCCCGGGGCATTGTGGGATATGAGGCCAGGAGGCTCCGCCCATCCCCGCCCCGCTCTATCCCCGCTGGCTCCCGAACAGCCAGGGGGCGGGGGCAGGGCCGTGGGAACGCCCGAGGGGCAGGAGCCCAGTGTTTTAGCCTTCGAAGGACCATGGTGCTTCCACGTCATCGTGTTGTGGCGCTCCCCCCTGTGGTAGTACAGTAGTTTTCCTCTCTTCTGCCTGCGGTGACGGTTGGTGTGTGGGGTGCCCAGAGGCCTCCCTGGTCCCCTCACGCCTGGCAGAATGGCCTCAGCCCAGGGAGCAAGCAGTCTTCGCCCCGGTGGGGACCGCCCGCTACGCAGAGACGTCCACGGTCCGCGTGGAGACCTCATCCCACCGCGTGGAGACATCGTCCGGATGGATGGAGACCTCACAGGGCCGCAGCGAGGGGCCTTCCCTCTCCCCGTCGAGAAAGTGGCTCCCTGGCGTCCTCGCGGCGTCCTCCTGGCACGTGGAAGCCTCCTTGCAGCGCATGGAAACGACCTCCCGCCACGTCAGGGACCCTGCGGGTGGAGACGTCTCTGCACCGCGCGGAGAGCCCGGCCCCGAGGGCCAGGCCGGCCGCCCCTCAGAGAGAAAAAAACAGCCTGATGAGATGCTGCTTCCCAAAGGCCACCAAGGGGCCAGGGCCTTCGGCCAGGAGAGAAAGGCCTCCAGTTGCCAGCCAGCCAGCTGCCAGGTGGGCCAATCTTTTTCGGTTTCATGGGAACAGCCCATAAATCAATGTAAGAAACAGCTAAGCTGCGGTTCCTGAACACAGCCAACGTTTTTTGACCATCCTACGGCGTCTTGGACCAGTCGGCTTTTGAACCAGTGAATTATATTCACTTGAAGTCAGCACAAAAGGTTTTCAGGCCCAGGATGCTATATAAATCGGGTTGATGGACAAAGAGGCTGTTTGAGCCTCTGAGCCAGGTGAGTTTGGGATCCAGAGCCCTCAGATGACCTTCACCCCTTAGGAACAGAGACCAAACTGAAATCATGACCTGTGGAATGATTCCATGCCTGCTAAAAGCTTGAAAGGCAACAGACTCATAAATTACTAATTGGCCTTTGTTTATGTTTCAAAGTAAATGGTTTTCTTTTACCTGGCACCCCCATTCACACACTTTTTAAATGTAGGTTAGATGTAGTTAAAAATGACAGCAAACCCACCAGCAAGCAAAAATAATCTTAGAAGAGAAAGTGAAAGGAGGTCATTGAAACCTGACCTGAGGTTTGAAGAAGATGGACAAGAGTCATATTTACTGAGTACCTGCTCTGTGCCAGGCACTACAGATGCTCCTCCACTTACGAGGGAGTTACCTCCCAATAAACCCATTGTAAGTAGAAAATATGGTAATTTGAAAATGCACTTACTATCTACAACCTACTAAACATCGTAGCTTAGCCTAGCCTACCTTAAACATGCTCAGGACACATTAGCCTAAAGTTGAGCAAAATCATCTAACAGAAAGCCTATTTTATAATAAAATGTTGAATATCTCATGTAATTTATTGCTTACTGTACTAAAAGTGAGAAACAACGGTTGTATGGGTACTTAAAGTAGTATTTCTACTGAATGTCCCTTTTGTACCATTGGGAACTGTCTGTATTCTGGGAACTTGGACTGTAGCGGTAAAAAAGGCAAAGACCCATCTCTAGTGGAGCTTACAGTGGTGAAAAGGCAGACAGGCAATGATGAAACAAGACAATTTTCTACTGTGATTAGCACTATGAAGGAAATATATGGATAATGTGATAGAGAATGGAAGTAAGATGTTTCTTTTGATAAATGGTCAGGGAAGGCCTTGCTGATTAGGTAACATTTAATCTGAGATGTATGTGAGTGAACAGTGATCTGGAAAGGGTGCATTCTAGGTAGAAGGAACAGCAAATACAAAAGGTGATGGAACAAGTTTTGAATGTTCAAGGAACAGAAAGAAGGCCAGTGTGGCTGGAAAGAGAGACAGGCAATTATATATACACGGAAGCAGAATGGAAGACAGGAGATTAAAAGCAAGCAGGGGCCCGTCCACAGAAGGTCTTCTAAGCCACAGTAAGGAGTTTGAGAATTTATTCTAAGGTCAATAGGAAAATATTGGAGGGTTTCCAACAGGGGAATGACATGATGCCATTTACATTTTTAAAATATCCTTCTGGCTTCTGTGTGTAGAATATGGGACAGTAGTTCTCAACTAAGTGTGATTTGGTCCCCCAGACGATATATGGCAACGTCTAGAGACATTTTAGTTTGGTGGAAAAGTTGGGAGGCAGTGCACAGAAGGTGCTACTAGCACCTGGTGGGTAGAGGCCAGGGATGCCACCTCACATCCTACAGTGCACAGGTCAACACCCCATCCTCTGCCAACAACGAAGAACCACTGGTCCCAAAATGTCAATAGTGCCGAGGCTGAGAAACACTGACAGTTCTAGCAGTTTGAAAAGCTAGAACATGGTCCACTGGGGCAGCACCCCACTTCTGCACATCAGGATTGTGGTGAGACCTAAGAAACAGTCATGGAAGAGGGTTACCTCTAAAGTTAAAAAGAAGTCATCAAAGAAAACAGCCACACAAACGGGGCAGAATTCCTACCACTCGTGGGCCACTTTGCGGGAATTTTAACAGTGATCACTAAGGTAGGCTGTAATAACTGTGGCTTCCCCTATTTTAATAATGCGTTGTAACAATTGTTAAGTGATTAAGTTTCCCAAAAGCTACGTGCTGAATCTGTTAAGAAAAACTTAGGATGCAAGCTGAAAAAGAGACTGCAGAGAGCCTAAAAGATCACGGAACATATGAATATATAAGAAGCACAAGTAGCAGAATGATACACAAGTCTGGCGACAGTATTTCAAACTTATGCAAGCTCATGTGAGAAGCAGAAAGCCAATCAAGGACACGCTTTAAGACCCAAGGAGGACACGCTTTAAGAGAACTCTCCCGTAGTGTCGCCCACGCCGGGGAGCTGGTGGGGTCGTGTGTGACTAGCAAAGATGTGCAAACAAACCAAATTAGGAAAACTGCAGAGTACCTTAGCCTTTCTAGGCGCTACAAAAGCCTTGTCTCCTCCCTGTCCACATACTAACCTTGCAAAGAGTGAGGCCTGGAAGGAGGCCCCGGGGAAGCGGGAGAAGCGGTCTGGGCTGAGGAGAGGTCTATCTGCGAAGACTCCAGGCTCAGAGAGCTACTCACCTGTCTCCATAGCGACCGCAGCGCCCATAACAAGCTGAATCAACACCAGCCCAACAAAGCAAAAGCCAGAGGGGCGGGAGAAGTTCCGGAAACCACGGCTCCCTCTTCCGGTCCCGGGGCATTGTGGGATATGGGGGCGGTGGCTCCGCCCATTCCTGGCCCGGCCGGCTTGGCGGAGGCTGGCTCCCAAATGGATGGGATTCGGTGCCCGACGTTGGGGACGCCAGAGGGGCAGGAGCCCAGGGAGGCAGAGAGTTTTACCCTCAAATGGAGTGAGTCCCGGCCGGCGCGGTGGCTCATGCCTGTAATCCCAGCACTTTGAGAGCCTGAAGCGGGTGGGTCACGAGCCCAGGAGACCAGCTTGGCCAAGATAGTGAAACCCCATCTCTACTAAAATACAAAAACTAGCCGGGCTTGGCGGCGCGTTCCTGTAATCCCAGCTACTCGGGAGGCTGAGGCAGGAGAATTGCTTGAACCCAGGAGGTGGAGGTTGCAGTGAGCCGAGATCGCGCCACTGCACTCCAGCCTGGGAGAAGAAGCGAGATTCCGTCTCAAAAAAAAAAAAAAAGGCAAAAAAGGGGGTGGTGTAGGGGGGAAATGAGTCCCAGAGTCTGGCACAAGAGTAATGTGCAAAGCTAGTGGAATGAATTCGGTAGTCTATATATACCTTCCTCAAGCGCCACGGCAGACTGGATCTCCTTGCCTACTACACCCTCTCCTGCAATCCAACTTGTGAGGCCTGTTTGTGTGTGTGCGCGCGCCCACGCGCCCAAGCCCACACTTGCCTTTAGATGGAGGTTGGCTTCCCAGCCATCCAGACTTGCCCCAAAGTCCGTGGTACAAGCAATCGTAATTCCTTTCCCCACCTCGCCGGACTGCTGTACCAGGCTTTGATTCCTTCTTCCTGCGTGTTTTGGACAGAAAACACGCAGGTGGCACACAGTAAGCGCTTAATAAATGTCCTGACTAAGCGGTCTCCTTGGAATTGAGGCGATGCTCCTGTGCGTCCCTCGTTGCACAGAGCTCCCTTGTCTGTAATCTCAGCGGTCACCGGAGCGGCCATTGGTCCTCTCAATTTCTCTATTTTAAAAAGCCATTTCAAGCGCTAGCGCTGTTGGATCTCCGACTTTTTGGGCTTTATCGCCTGGGGTGGAGTGGCTGGTGAGAGGGAAGGGATGGGAAGCCAAGACAGGAGAACACTCCCGATTTCCCGACCCACATCCCATCATATATCATATCAACCTGGGGTTCTACTGGGTCCTGTTACTTTTTTTCTTCCACCAACCCCAAATTCCCATCACTGGTCTAGCTCTCTTCCAGTTCCGCAAATCCAGATGTCTGTCCCAGGGAACTTCAAGGAAACTTGCCCGAGAGGTCCGCCCCTCTTCCCACCTCCCAGACCTCTCCTCCTACCTCCCCCGGTGTCACCCGCGCCTCCTCCCTCGCTTCACCTCCCTCTATACAAGAATCCGGCCCAGTCATTTCTAGACCCTGAGCATCTCCCGCTTCCTTGCCCAATATCCGCCCCGCCCACGTCCCCTTGAACCTGCTGAGCCCTGCTCCCCGCATCCCCACGCCCTTGCTCCGAGCTTCGGAGAAAGAAAATGCGCACGGTGCAGGTGGCCCCGCAACTCCACGGTGAGTGAACGGAGGACGGAAGGTGGAAAGGCGCACGCCTTCCTCCCTTCTTCCTTCCCTAGGGTGGGCAGCTGGTGACACACAGTAAACGCTCAATAAATGTTCCCGCTGCTCGATCTCCTTGGAGTTGAGGGACGCTCCTGAGCGACTCTCATTCCACACAGCTCTCGTGCCGGGAAACTCTGCAGTCGCCTGAGGAGTTGTCGGTCCTCCTGCTTTCTCGATTTTAAAAGCCGTTTCACACCAGAGGCCCCGCCACCTCTGCTGCAGACCTTCCAAGCCTTCCAGAAGCCAGAAAAATTTCTCCCTAATTCACTCCTGCTGCTTAACACGTTTGAATGGCTCTCGCATGTTCTCGGGACCAAATCCAAAGCCCTTGGGGCCCCCCGACCTGCTGACCCCCCACACCTGGGCTCTGAGCTCCAGCTCCACGATGCTGCTGGCCTTCCCTTCCCCTCTGTTCCGTCCCTGCCTGGCACGCCTCTCCCCTGCCTACCCTCTCACTGTTCCTGGCTGAGCCATCCCCACCTCTAGGTCTCCAGAAAGGCTGTCCCCAAGCCATTGGGGCCCCTCCAGGCCCTCAGCCTCGGGAGAGGGGGTCACACAGCGGGAATTGCTACCAGCACGTCCCGGCTTCACAGCGCGCTTGTCCAGGGCATGGCTCCGGGTTGCCAGCGCCCAGCCCAGGGCTTAGCACAGTCAATGACCACAGGGAAGAGAAAGTGAAGGAAGGAGCAACCCTTCTACCTGCTGCCCCCGTCCCCTCAGAACCGAGTCGTCTTTCTCTCTCTCCCTCCCTCCCTTTGCGCCGCTAGGAAGGACGTGGTCCCTGGAGGGCGCAGGGCTTAGCCGAGCACCCCTTAGCCAAGCCCCACCCGGGCTGAGCCTCTGCTGCCGCCCGCAGGACCAAAGTCAAGGTGGAACTACCGGAGTACCGAGGGCCGCTGCTGTTTGTAAAACTGAGCAAACGGCACCTCCTCCAGGAGGACGCCTGGTTCTGCAGCTGAAGAAGAAAGAAAGAAAGAAAGAAAGAGAGAGAGAGAGAGAGAAAGAAAGAGAAAGAGGGGGTGAGGGAAGGAAGGAGGGAGAGAGGGAGGGAGGGAGGAAGGGAGGAAGGAAGGAAGGAAGGAAAGAAGGGACGGAGGGAGGAAGGAAGGAAAGAAGGAAGGAAGGAAGGAAAAGAGGTTTAATAGAGTCATTAAACCAAGTTCCATATGGCTGGGGAGGCCTCACAATCATGGTGGAAGGTGAAGGAGAAGAAAAGGCACATCTTACATGGTGACAGGGAAGAGAATGTAAGAAGAGGAGCTGCCCTTTATAAAACCATCAGATCTCCCAGGCACAGTGGCTCATGCCTGTAATCCCAGCACTTTGGGAGGCCAAGGCAGGCGCATCACCTGGGGTCAGGAGTTTAAAACCAACATGTCCAACATGGTGAAACTCCATCTCTACTAAAATTATAAAACTTAGTTGGGCATAATGGTGAGTGCCTGTAATTCCAGCTACTCAGGAGGCTGAGGCAGAAGAATTGCTTGAACCCAGGAGACGGAGGTTGCAATGAGCCAAGACTGTGCAACTGCACTCCAGCCTGGGTGACAGAGCAAGAATCTGTCTCAAAAAAATCAGATCTCATGAGACATATTCACTATCATCAGAACAGCCCAAGATAAACCT